ATGTTATGCACATTGCAAATGATACAGTTTAACTCGTCGGGATGCTATGGTTGTGTTATATGATAGTTTGCTGTTATAGGACTCTTCAGATTCTACGATTTCAGAGAATTACATACTGTTTGGCGATTTTGCTCAATTCAAGAGGAGTATTATTTTAATGATGTATCCTTCTTGCACAATATGTAACATGAGTACACTTTGTGATGTGTGATATTTACATCGAAATAGGGTCAACAATATTATTTATTTACAGAGCTCAAACAAGTGATTGAACCATTCAAATTCAAATTTTGATTAGAAAACCTACAAATCTAGAAGATTTGATCATAGAATTGGAGGCACTTTATAGTGGGAACAAATCTTGATGCTCCAACGGGAATTGTGGCGACAATGGCAATAATAAAAACTGTAACGATAGAAATAATCGGATTTAGTTCAGATCTTCAATGAACACGCGCAAGTGTAAGCATTATTTATGCGTGTAAGCGCACAACGCATCGAACCAAATCTCGAACTAGGCTACGGAAAGAGCGTGGACGATTTCTGATGCGTATTGATACATTCAGTTACGCTGTGCATGAGTTTACGGCCTAGAAAACCATCAGCACACTTACAATTAGTATATTACAAGGGAGTTGTGCTTTTTGAGATGCACTACAGCACAGGAATTTTGTGGCTGCAAAACAGGCAACCCGACACAACACAGTACATTTGTCTCTTCTGCATTTCAAATACATTACAGAAAGTGTTTCTGGGAAAGACTGCTACTGCTGCTGTATGTAACTGCACGAAGAAAGTGATAAAGTATTACTACTGCTGTGCATCCGGTTGAGTTGGAATGAATGTTTTCTCGCATAAAAAGTGCACAATACTGAAAATTCTAGTCACATAGAGATATGTGGTTCACAACCACTGGCTGGTATCCCAAGGGGAACAATTCTTGTGAGATAGAAAAATTGTGAAGGAATGAGAACTAATTAAACAGCTCAGAATACATCCAAGAGTCCGGTTTAACTGAATGCACTTGGTGATAAAATTATACTCACATCTTTACCGGTAGAATTGATCAACGGTGAGAAGGCATAAGGCGATAGAACAAGTGCAGTTACGTAAGGCGGTGAAAACAATAGCGGTGTGAATATGAATGGACTTAGAATTACTGGTGCCATGTAGTTGGGATTGAATATGAATGGTGAGAAGGCTAATGGAGATAGGACAACTGGAGTTAAGGCTTCTGAACTGAAAATGAAAGGATCGAATAGCAAAGGCGAAAGAATAAGGGGAACGAGCGCACCTGGTGACAGAATGAAAGGATCGAATGCGAGTGGTGAGAGAACAATGGGAAGTAAGTTCACCGGCGAAAGAATCACCGGAGCGAATATTTTTGGCGATAGGATAAGTGGGGTCAATACGACCGGGCTGAGTATAACCGTACCATAAATTGATGGTGAATTGATGACGGGAGTGAGTGCAATCGGTGAGAGAACGATTGGTGCTGATATTGCCGCTCCATTATTGATGATATTAGTCATGAATACCGGTGATAATATCGTGGCCCGTTTGGAGCGTCGTCTTGGTGAATCCGGATCGAGTCCAATCACACGCTCCGATTCGTCAGCTTCCCCTTCCGATCCTCCAGCAGCCTTTCGAAGTTCACGTAAATTNTTTTTTGAATATTTTATGATAAGATGAGTTTACGAAATATTTGTTGAAGTTTTGACGTCAACGATTATTGACAAATTCGACTGTCTTCAAAAGATCAATCATCGATCACCTGTTTCTCAGTGAGATTCGACTGTAAACCATCGAACAATTCGATTCTCCTCCTCTCATGATCACCGACTATTTTGGATATATTCTCCTTGTTGAAATACATCGGTTGGCCATCAATGGCTTTCGGCGACTTATCCAAACTTCCCATTACTTCTACCATTTGGTAGTGCTAAACAAATAACATTCATGAATTATCCGTATCATCTTTCAGAGATCTGATTCTGTATATATGCAGGTAGATGTCAGTCAGGTGAACTATTATTCTGTTCTCCGATGAACCCTTTGAGCACTCAATATGTTACATTTCCGAGCTAATCAGATCCTCAGTTCAACATGCAGTTTTTCTGGATGCACAATCTTTTCAAAATGAACAAAACCCGAGGATATCAACACTTGCAAGTGCTTTCCAATGTTCTCGAAGTGAAATATGAGTTTTTCGAGAGTAGAAGAGTGTGGAGATAGATTTGATGAACAGAATCCGTGGCTCATTATTGAAAATCATAACACCGGACTGTAATACATACGTGTGTCTTCTCAATAGCATCAGGCACTCCAGACATCTCTAGAATAAAGCTCATCCATTGCCTGTAATCAGGATTTGGAATGGAGTTTAGTGCGTTCGGAACACTCAAAAGCGCCTCAGTTCCTTGACCTTGATTGTGAAGACTGAATATCGATGGAGAAAACAAATTCATCTATAACAGATAGACATTTCTCACTTTAACACTTGTACGACACCAAAATCGAACGACATTATCTACTCGATCATTCTCGCACTCATTTGATTCATTTACAACACTGACGAACTGAAGAATTGTCGATTTTTTGATAACGAAACTTTTGTAAATTTGGTATTTTGTTGTAACAAAAAAAACATGGTATTGTAAATTTCGAGAACATTAAGAGGTATTATCGAATTATTCATGAAAACCATCAAATTATATCCATTGATTCCACACCGTTTTTTTCCGTTCTTCTTCAGGTGTCATCGACAGGAATCGTGGTGAGAACAACGTGAGTTTGCCAACGTCTGTATCATTGTGAATTCCCATTATTTTCACAAGTTCAGTGATTTGACGGACAAACTTCGCCTGTTCATCGAGTATTTCCTGATTCGGATCTCTTAGTGATCGCCCGAGTTGATCGTCGCCATTCTGATCCATACCAAGCAGTTCCTTTATCGCCGCTCTGTCTTTCTTAACAGTTTTTTTTTT